CCACCACAGAACAGGGTGTCTGCTCTGCACCAAGTCATGACTGACCATCCCTGTGCTGCTGCTACAGGCACAATCCAGTCTGGAGACACACGGTTATCAGCTGTCTACAGAGGAACTTCAGATTCCTCTCAGGCTTAGCTACAGGAAGATGAGGGGCAGGCAGCCTCTCAGGAACACAGAAAGCACAGAACATCTTATTCCCCTTACAAAAATTCACACCTAAATGTGACCAAGCTAGAAAATCCAACATTCAGAATTCAAATACATGTGATCCAGTACACCTTGAACCCCCGAGTACCAAACAAGCACCAACAAAGTGCAACATTCAGCAGGAAATCTAACCACTGCCACTGCTGGATGTAAAAGAATTGCTCAGTTCACAGACAGATCAAGTCTGAGATTCTTCCAGTCTCAAAGAGATTACTGGAAATAACATAAAATAGTCGCAACAAAAACCAAACACAAATACATGGGATCCAATATTGCTATAAGAAGTAAAATAATTCAGAGACAAGTTTTAGAAGTGAATAGTATATGCTTAATAATATAATAATCAGAACATCTGGATCTCCTCTAACTTCTTTAATTGGAGGAATTAAAAGTACTTCATAAATAATTAAACTCAATTAGGCCATCCAAATTGTTTGTATGATTGGTGAAAACCTCCCAGTTGTAGCTTCTGTAGAAATGGTTCCATGTGGATTTGTTTTCATTTGACTGTAGATATTCCATTCTGAAAATTTTCTGTTGACTCATCAGAGAAATCACAGTCAACACTACTGCTTTCTTTTTCAGAATCAAGAAACACCTAAGAATTCCTGTCTTCCTGTCCTGTTCTTTGTGGGCTTTTCAAGCAAAAAGCATCATCCCATGATGTGAGATTCTCAGTGTTAATTTAAACAAATATCAGAGTCAGATTTGATTTAAACTAACATGAAGAGAATTAGAATTCATTATTATTATTTGGAGGAAATAGCTGATATTTTCAAGAGAGTTCTCATAATTCTGACTTGGTCATTTAGACATATGATGCTTTGTGAAACTTTCAACTGGCTCACGGGAACTGAAGTTACAGTCATAGGAACTGGTAATGAGTTACGAAATTAATGAATTTTTATTGCTAAATTAAGACTTACCAGCTTTTCTCATCAGCCTGCCCTAAAAAAAGAGGACACTGGTGAAACTGGAAGGACAAAAGAACCATTGTTTGAAAAACACAGCCATCTTTACTATGACAGAAGCAACAATACACTTGAAGCTATCACAGCACCTTAACCAACACAATAAAGTCAGCACATACCTTACAACAGAGAGAAAAGCACTAAAAGAGCATTGAGCAAGGTTAGAAAATATCAGAATTAAACTGGTCCTTGCCAACAACATGCACGTACAGTGAAGTCTTCCCTGTCATACATACAAGTTCCTCCAGGCCCAGGAACTGCTGCCTCAAGCACAAGTGAAAAAGCCTTACAATTCCTGAAATTCCGTAGCACTTTGGAAAGCATCCCCCTCTCAGCTGAGGGAAGCAGCTCAGAGCACAAAGAAATACAGGTGTGTGGAATCAAGGGCTACACTATAAACCACACAGAAAAAAATGGAACCTGGCTCTGCAGTAACCTTTAGCACTTTACACCTGATTTTCCAGTGTGTACAGACAAAGTTGTCCATAAATAACTTTGGGCATTTCTTCCCACTCTGCATCCTAGAACTCACAAACTAAACTGAGCCTGAGGTGCTGCATCCCTCTGTCGGGGACTGAACAGGGCAGAAACATGGACAGGAAATTGTGGGGCGTGTTGGACCACAGCTACGAGCAGCAAGACACCCCTGAAGTAAACACACTAAGCACATTTATGACAGGTGTCACAAAGAAATTATATGGCTCAAGACACGGACAAGAACATTAGGGCTTTTGGCAAATATCCACAAACCTGACCGCACAAAGTACACACAGATATCAAGTTTTCACACATTTGTATCTCAATCAACTCAAAATGTGTTTCAGAGCAGAAGACAACACAAAGCAATCCCATGTCCATATGGTTATGTATGTGCTTCAACCCTCTCAATAAAACAGCTCTTTCCCTTCTACTTGTGAAAAACCCTCAAACCTGTACATGTGTATTAAACGATTTTAAATTCTATTTAAAGCGTAACAGGATTATGATGCTTACAGGAATAAAAAAAATCGTAATAACATACACAAACTTTGTCCTGACACCCACCCAGTGACAACATTCCAAGTAGTTCGGTAGCCTGGGCTGCACCATCCAAAACTCCACAAGCTACACAGCTAATACCAGTAACTGTCATTCACATCCCTCGAGCCCCCCATATCTCTGACTTTTTGCATTTTCATGCCATCACATCACTACTGACCCAAATCTCCACCTCACACCTCTCACAAAACTGAACGCTGATGCACACAAAGGAAAATCAGAGTCAGACCCGCTGAGATGAAGGAACATTTCCTCTCAATTCACTTTAACCTTATCGCTAGGAATCTGGCTGTCAGCCAGACGGAGTCCACAATACTCGTTATCCTGCAATAACAACCCGCACCTCGGAGCGCAGCCAGCCTCAGGAATCACACACCGGGCTGAGACGCGAAATACCCAAGCAAGGCTCGAGCTTTCCCCGGGCCAGGGACGACGCTCGGGAAGCGCCCCAGCAGCTCCCGCTCCGCTCCCTCGCACGGGGCCGGGCAGCGTCGATGCCACGGCCGCTCCATCCGAGCCCAGCCCTGGCTCCGCCTGAGCCGCGCTCAGGACCGCGCCCCGCCTCGCCACTCCAAGGGTGGAAGCAAATAAGCGCTGCGCAACGAAGCGCCGGGCCTGGGAGTGCTCAGCGGCCGCACAGCACGGGCACCTGGCGGCGGGGAGAGCCCGAGGAGCGCTGCGGCCGCGCCCCAGGGCAAATCTGCGTCCCAGGGACCCCGCCCGGCCCGGCACTCACCGCGGCCCGGCCCCGCACTCACCCGCGGCCCGGCCCCGCACTCACCCGCGGCCCGGCCCGGCACTCACCGCGGCCCGGCCCCGCACTCACCCGCGGCCCGGCCCCGCGCTCACCTAGGGCCCTACCCTGCCCCGCACTCACCCGCGGCCCTGCCCTGCCCCGCACTCACCCAGGGCCCGGCCCCGCACTCCCCCGCGGCCCTGCCCTGGCCCGCACTCACCCGCGGCCCTGCCCTGGCCCGCACTCACCCGGGGCCCTGCCCTGGCCCGCACTCACCCGGGGCCCTGCCCTGGCCCGCACTCACCCGCGGCCCTGCCCTGCCCCGCACTCACCCGCGGCCCTGCCCTGCCCTGCACTCACCCGGGGCCCTGCCCTGGCCACTCCCCTGCGGCCCTGCCCTGGCCCGCACTCACCCGCGGCCCTGCCCTGGCCCGCACTCCCCTATGGCCCTGCCCTGGCCCGCACTCACCCGCGGCCCTGCCCTGCCCCGCACTCACCCGGGCCCGGCCCGCACTCCCCTATGGCCCTGCCCTGGCCCGCACTCCCCTATGGCCCTGCCCTGCCCCGCACTCACCCGGGGCCCGGCCCCGCGGCCCGGCCTAGGCCCACGCCATGGCGCCTTCCGTGCGCTCAGCGCCCACGCCGGAAGTTCCGCCTGACGCCGCGCGGCGGCAGCCACAGCTCCGAGACACCTCATTGGCCTACCGGGCTGTCACTCATCCGGAAAGGGGCGTGGCGTAGTTCCCCATTGGACCCGCCCGCGGGGGGAGGGCGGTGCCTCTCCCGCCCCACCGCCAGGGGGCGCGCGGCGCCGGGCGGGGCCACAGCGCCGCCTCGCGGCGGCCCGGCCTGGGGGGCCGTTCCCCCACACAACTCCCGCAGCCGCTCTGCGGGACGGCGCGGGGCTGGAATTCCACCGGGGGCGCGAGGGCAGTTCCCGCGGCTGGGGCAGGTCTTGTCCTGAACAGCAACGCCAAACGCGGACAAGAGAGGAGGCGGAATTAACCTGAGCGTTAGGACCCCCACCGGCCTCTCGGGGCCTTGTACCTATTTCCCAGCCATAACATTGCAAACACTTCCTGTAGATATATCCATGACAATTTATAAGCCTATAAATGGAAAAAATTATGCTGGAGCATGTCTATTGGCAAGCACAGCATTTCACCGGGGAGTGCGGGACGGCCGCACAGCGCCCGCGGCTCTCGGCCGTGCGGAGAAGCATTGTCTGAGGAAAAGCCAGCGTCTCCAGCTGGGAACAAAAGGCAGTAATGCGTTTCTCCAGTTGCTGTTGTGTTGTAAAACGGACCCTTCAAAAGTTGACCAGCCTTTCTGTTTAACAAAATTAACTATTTCTTAAAGGAAAGAAGAGTTATGAGAAGATGTTATGCATCATGTCAGTAACTTACCACCCTGGGTTTTTTTGTGGGTTTTTTTCTTTATTTAACATGGTAGGAACACGCATTTTGCTGTGGTTTCAGCAACCTGGTGCAGCAGCACCAGCATTTGGATGACACAAATGTAAATGGCTGTAAATGGAAATGGGCTTGAACTGCGGATCTACAGATAGCAGAATTATAATTTGATTCTTTCGCAGCAACACGTACTTCGGAAGGGACCCGTCCCCTCGGCCCCCCCAGCGCAGCCCGTGCGCGCTGTGCAGCAGCTTCCCGGAGCAGTCCCGGCCCCCGCCCCGGGACAGCGGTTCCTGCGGGCTCCCGGGGGCGGGCCCGGCCCCCGCCCCGGGACAGCGGTTCCTGCGGGCTCCTGCGGGCTCCCGGAGCAGTCCCGGCCCCCGCCCCGGGACAGCGGTTCCTGCGGGCTCCCGGGGGCGGGCCCGGCCCCCGCCCCGGGACAGCGGTTCCTGCGGGCTCCCGGAGCAGTCCCGGCCCCCGCCCGGGACAGCGGTTCCTGCGGGTTCCTGCGGGTTCCTGCGGGTTCCTGCGGGCTCCCGAAGCAGTCCCGGCCCCCGCGCCGGCACAGCGGTTCCTGCGGGTTCCTGCGGGCTCCCGGGGGCGGGCCCGGCGCAGGCGCGGCCGGGGCGCGGCGGGGCGGCCGCGGCGATGCTGCTGGTGCTGTCGGAGGAGCACCGGGCGCACCTGGGCTGTTTGCCGCGGGCGGGCGGCGCAGGTCGGGGCCGCGAGGGTCCTGCGGGCGGCGGGGGCCGGGCCGGGGCTGCAGCGCGTCCTGCAGCGGGGTCCCTTCTCTCTCGTTCCAGGCGTGGTCGAGCTGGGGCGCCTGGCGCTGGAGCAGCTGCGGCGGGGAGCGGCACCGCGGGCCTGCGAGGCCGCCGCCCGTAAGAGCGGGGCCGTGGGGGAGCGGGCGGATCGGACCGTGGGGAGGGCGGGACCGGGCCGCGGTTTCAGGGGGTCTCTAACATGTACGTTATTATTTGAAGGGTGTGAAACCCTCTTTTGTTTGTTTGTTTTTTTTTCTTTTCTATGCATATTTTGCAAGTTAGCCTTGCAGTTTTGAATCTCGTTGCTGTAGTAGTTAACGAGGAAGTAAAAGACACTTTGTCTTCTCTTTAAAGGAAAGCTGAACGTTGGCGTTGACACCATTCATCATGGAGTAGAGGGACTAACATATCTTCTTACTGAAAGCTCCAAGCTTATGGTAAGGATACTTTAGTGTAAGGATTTCAAGAATGCACTCAGGAGATGTCTTCTGAACACCTAGACCTCTGAAAATACTGAATGGGGAAAATGTAGCTCAAAATTTTGATGACATATTTTAATTTCAGAGAAAGGTGTCTCAGACTGTTGTCTTATTGAAACACTGCATTTGTGTGGATTACTGGAATTTGTATTCAGTGTCTGAAGCTAAAACTTGACAACATTTTAATGGCATAATTTACTCTATATAGAGAAGCATCCTTCAAGATTGAGCTCTAAATAATAAAACTCAAGCAAAGATTTTGTTGTCCAGCTACTGTACACGACATGGGCTGGACTAACACCCTATTCATCATTCTTTGTCTTTGTCTCATGTGGTGGATTTGAGAGCTTTTTCAGCTCCTGGTATCAAAGTTTTGGGTGGGTGTAAGCAGATACTAAAATAATTGTAGTTGGATAGTGACTGTTTCCGTTGTAACTTGATATAGTACAATATTTGAACAATGACTACGTGGGGAAGGGATACAGAGACAAGAAATGCTAGATTAAATTCAGTCAAGTGTTGCTCCCAAGAGCAGGTGGGGAGGAGGGGATAGAAATGTTGCAGAGCCTTTTCTTAAAGCAATGGGACTTGACTGACAGGTTCCAGGGTATTATGATAGAATGTGACTTGTCACAGACCGTGTTTGCACAAAGGTGCATTGGAGAGGTACGATGGCATTTTCCATGGAGTCAGTACCTGCTGGTCCAGGCTGCTGCAGTCAGCACAAGGACCGCGACCTGCGGCAGGAGCCCGAGCATTGTGGCTGGTGCTCCTTGCACCACATCACTGCCGGGTGTTTGTAGTCTGGATATCAGTGGCACAGGAACACTCCTGATAAATGGATTCCTGCAGCATGTCCTGCCTCATGACACAGCTTAGGCACTCCCCTGCACTGTGTTATGTTCTCTGATGCAAAGGCTTTACACGTGAGGGCCTTGACTGTTCTTTCAAAGAATGATCTACAACTGTCCTGAAACTCATGCAAATCTGCAGTAATACGTCAACATCTGTAAATCCCTTAAAACCTGCATATTTGTTTTGTCCAAGGTGTAGAATATTGGACATTCCTGCAGGAAAATAACTGCACCATATCATGTGTGATGTTTATTTACAGTTTTATTTGGTTTTTGAAAAACAATGATTACAGAGTTCCATATTAAGGCCTAAATTGTTATTTCTAGATTTCTGAGATTGACTTTCAAGATTCCATTCATGTTCTGGGATTCTCAGATGAATTGAATAAATCCTTGCTCCAGCTGTACCTTGACAACAGGAAGGAGATCAGGACCATTCTTGGAGAGCTGGCACCAAGGCTGCCCAGCTACCACAGTCTGGAGTGGAGACTGGATGTGCAGGTGATTTCCCTGATGTTTTTAGTATTTCATATTTTACTTCACATTTTTTTTAACATCATAAAAAAACTTATAAACAGTGTAAAAGTAATTGAGGTAGCAGTACTTCATGTATTTAAAACTGGCATGACCTCGTTAGCGCCTCACAGCCAACCAGTTCTAAGATGAACAGGATATGTAATGATGGAAAGTACTTGTTGCCTGATGAAAACTGAATTCACGGCTTCATTGTTCTTTTAATAGTGTTAGCATATACAAAATATATTTGGTCTTGATTATCACCTAATTTTCAGAAGTATTATGAAAGTGTTGATTAAAGTGGATTAGTATTCCGTAATGATCGTGTGTATCTTTAATGTGGATAAAAAGGGTTTCTGAACAGTCCTCCAAGCAGATTCTGCAAACCTGCTGGGAATTGTAGGTACAAACATCAATAACCATTGTTTGTTTCCCCGTTCCCATCTCATCAAACCGCTCCTGCAGCTTGCAAGCAGAAGTTTGAGACAACAGATCAAGCCTGCTGTGACCATGAAGCTACATCTTAACCAGAATGAAGATCAAACTGCCCAGGTGTTGCAAACTGACCCTGCTACCCTCCTCCGCCTGATCCAGCAACTGGAGCAGGCACTGGGGGAGATGAAGACAAACCACTGCAGGAGAATAGTGCGCAACATGAAATAGCCTCAATTCCTGCCTGCTCTTGTACTAAGCAGTTTGTGAAACAGCTCAAAACAAAGCTCACAGATATGTTTTGAGGAAAAAGAAACATCTGGATCAGATGAACTGCTTTCCTGTGCCAGGATCTTGAGCCAGTAATTACAGGCCAAATGTCCTCGGCTGCCAGCTTTGCAAACCTGACCGGTACAAGATAGGTAATTGGGTTTGCTTTACTTGCAAATGGAGGCATTCAGCATACTATGCTGAGAATTCCTTTAGTTCCTTTAGTTCTAAGTTAGTATAGATCTGCTTGAGCTTTCCTACTTTAGGTAGAACTGTCTCAATATTATATGAAGCTGCATATTTATAAGTAATTTTTTCTCTTTTGCTTCTCTTTTGAAATATTTTTTAAACCCTTACAGTGGTGGGAATGATACTTTGCAGGAAGATTTCTCCCGTATAGACTCAGGTATGTGTAAAAGCCGATGTGGGACTGCTGCCCTTTTCCTCCAGAGGGGGAGTGCGTCAATGGGGGCTGGTGTGACACTGCTGCTCTGCCCTTCTCACCTATAACCGAGCTAACCTTCGTTAGCAGAGCCTGCTGTGACCCCACAGGACAGCTGAGGCTTTCTGCAGCCAGCCCAGTGGCCTGCACTGGGTTGGCAAACTGGTTATTTGTGAAGGTGGTCTCAAAACTTGCAAAAGCAGAGCTGTGGCTGAGAAGGCAGGTTAAGAATAGTGTTAACCTCTGCTAACTCTGGTCTTTGTGCCCTGATGCCATGGTTTGCGTTCCCCTATTCGGGTGGTGCTCATAAAGGCAAGACCAGCTATTGCAACCAAAATTATGCGATGGTTTATGAAGGGAGCAACATGTGATGGTTCCCTGTCACTTTTTTGATAGAGCACTAAATCCAGGTGAGCATCCTGTCAGTGCAGCCTCTGAGTGCACAGACCAACTAAAAATGCAACTAGTTTAGGCATAAACAAGATTATTTTCTTAAAAGCAGAACCAGGCTCGGCCCTTAGCTACATACTTCCCAACAGATCTGTGTCCCGGTCTATTTGCTCCTGCTCTAAATGGTAAAGGGCACAAAGTTCGGGTTTTATAATCCAGAAAGGAGACATTTTGCTACACAGTGGGTGTTTGTCTTCCAGTGAGAATTGTTCATAGTCTCAAGAGCTGGCTTGGGATGTGCTTCACCTTACATTTTCCAAAACTGGAAACGACTAAAACTACCAGTTTTCAACCACTGTAAAACATTGTTTCCTGAATCTGCACATTATTTGCTCAGCTGCTTAGCAGAGAACAAAATGTAACCCAGTTCTTAAAACTCAGGATGCTGTAATTTGTGTAGTGGTGTAATACCTTTATATTCTTTTAAACATTGAATAAACTCAAGAAGCAATGCTTTTCTTCCTGGTTTGTTTTTTTTTCCTAAATTCTTTTGAATTAGCTCTGCACCATCACTGTCCATTTTGTACAGGGCTAGAGGTTTGAATAGTGGTCTTATGTCGGTTCCAGTGTTTGTAAGAATGCCTGTTTTCTATACTGTGACTTTGCCCAGGATAGGGTAGGTGGTGGGTAGGAAAAGAAGTCCAAGATTAGGAATAACCTGGCAAAACTCCATGAGTGAAGCCCTTACTTGCCTGAATAAAGGGCAGAAATTCTCACTCTGTGCTTGGCTTTCTTGTCAGGGTCAGGTTTATTACACCACAACTGATTTTGTTAAATACTTATGCTGATTTTATTTTCAAGACAATATAAATTGTGGCAGTTTTATACTACAGTTGTATACTGAAATCTGAAGTTTCACTCACCCATCAGATTATTTGTATCATGAGAAAACACTTCATTTAGGGTTCTGGGTTTTGATTTATTTGAAATGTGGCAAGTTTTAAACATTACTGTAGTTGTGCTGCAGATGGGAGTAGTCAGCACTAGTGAGCAGACTGCTTTTACGTGCACAGAAGTGCATTTTTACTGTAATTGTGGAGCAGAATGCTAAAACAAATTTTTGGAATTACCATGATCATCAGCTGTATGACTTGCTTATTCCAGATTCTGTATGACAAGTTCTAGATGCATAAGCACAGGCAGCAGTCCTTCAGTCCAGCTATTGGATTAAGGAAGTTTGTAACAGGAGCAGCTCTCTAAATAGTTGCATCCCGATTGTCCCAAAATGTAGATAATATTCAGGATAAGATAAAAACTATGGTGACCAAATATGCTGAAAAACACATGAAATATATTTTTTCCCATCATTAAGTATGTAAGAACCTTCTATTGATCTTGGGAAAAGAAAAAGCCTATCTGTTCCCTCAGTGTGTTACTTTTTTGGCAAAAAGAAAAACTGAATTTCACTTTATGGACTGTGTCTTACTCCATAGTCTGTTTGAGTGTGTGTGTGAACATTCAAAGCAGTGTTCCCAGTGCTCCCAGCAGATGCTGGAAAGACCAGAACTGCAGAAGTCAGAAGATTCTTGACCAGGCCTTTCGAGCATTCGGTGTGCACAGATGCACCCCAAGGGAACAAAAAACTTACGTCCTGGTAGTTTTGTCTTTAGCAGAAGCCCTACATAGGCCCTAGTAGGCCCTTTAGAGGAATCCCTTGGCTGGTATTTGCACTATTACTGAGACAAAAATCTGTTGTAAATACCTTTATTCTGAACTTCAGGAATCAGTTAATAATTTGCCATGGGTGGGCTTGAAAATCAGCATTGTGTAAAGTGAAGACGTTCCCTTCTGCCAGCTGAATCAGGTACAGCCTGAGGGTGAGCTGAACCACAGAGATATAAGGTAGTCAGTGCTTTGAGAGCCAAGAGCTGAAGCTTCAGCGAAGCTACTGGGCATCTTTTGAGAAAATTTGTTACACAAAAAAGATGAGACTTTTTTATGAGTAATTTTTATGGATTTTGTAATTGTTAGAAGTTGTGGCACTTGTTAAAAATACAAAAATTTCCTTCAGTGATCTTTCCTTCTTCATGTGATCTAAATATTGAGGGAATTTCCTCAATGTGGCTAATTTAGGGATGTGTTGTATAGCTCCTGTCACAAAGAGGTCACAAATACAGTCTCATAATAGATGCAATCAAGGATTCCTAGGAAAGCAGGATACATACCTGTTATAAATCAGTCAGTGACTGTCCTGAAAAGAATGCATGCATTGAGAGTACTGCTATGTAGGTTGGTTTCGCCATGCAAAGTTTTCTTTTTCATCCTTTTTGAGTAAGTTCTGTAATCTCACCTTTGAATTTTTTAATACTTTGCTGCACCAGGTGCAGTATTTAAATCTTCCTCATAAAATCAGAAAATCAAAACAGGGAGGAAAACAATCCTAAGCCTTCCATTCTTCCCTGGTATTAACAAGAGGAAAAAATGTGCAGCTTTACCTCTGTCAGGCCCCATCTTCACTTTGTGGTCTGCAGCCAAACAGAAGAGGAAGCGAAAGTGAAGCTGTTCTCCTTCTACTCTGCTGGTTTTACTAATATCTACTCACTCAATGGCAGGAACACATCTTAAAAATTGCTTTTAGACCGGTCAATTTTAATGCTCCCCAGAACAATTTTTCTCTCATCCCTGTTCCTTCTCCCACAAGAATTAAAAGTTAGTATCAAGAATTACTTTCCATCAAAAAGAAAAAAAGATGGAAACAGGGAATACTGATGCCAGATGTCATTTCTTCTCACCTAGGGAAACAGTGGATCCTGTAATTAAAATATTTGCAGAGCAAGTGATGCAGGCCAGAGGGGAGAGGATGGAACAGGCAGCACTGAGCAATAAATCAATGTGTGCTCAGGATGTGTTAAGAAATATATGACACTGCCATTTTATTTATATATGTATATATACACGTGAAAAATATATATGTATGCATGTATATATATACATATACATATGCACACTTATTAGGTGACAACTGGTATGTTGTACATGGACAGCAGAAGCGCATACCTGCTGAACCTCAGCAAATCTGTATTGGACACAGGCAATTCAAGCTGGAAGACTCCCAAAATACCAAATCTGATAATAATTAAACTACTAGCTTTGTTTCCTGGCAAAATCCACATCAGAAAACCCTCTCCATGTACATGCAGTTTATTGACACAGAAGAAAACTGTATCTTTCTGCAAGTTAAATTAGTTATGCCACAAAAGCATGTTTTGTGCTGGTGTGATTCACAGCACTGCCCTGTGCTGCCCTCCTGCCCTGGACAGCAGAGCTGAGCCAGGCTGCCTTGGCTCTGCAGCTGCTCCCTGTGTTTCAGCCGTGTTGGCTGGGTCGTTATTCTGGGCTGTTGGCAGTGCGCACACAGGGACTTCAGGCCGACAGAACAACTCTGGCCAGTAAGATCACCCTGTATTATAATAATTTCTGTATTTCTTTTTGTAATTCTGGACTTCAACTCTGAAGCAGCAGATCAGGTCCCACTTTATCTTACGTGACTATTTTGGGATTTAATAATCCCACCAAATTTGGCCAAAAATCATATTCCAAATCTGCCTTGAGTAACTGAAAGTCTGAAAAACTGGTAGTTTTCATGTCCTTTAAACATTACCACCATTTCCACAAGCGTGAGTTTGTTTCCTAATTCATTTATGTGCAAAGTCAGCTATGTTAGCGAACCTCATTGTCAGCAGCAGTTGGAGATGCCTGAGACAAACCAGTGATGGCCTGTCTCTGTATTTGTTCCCCTGTCTCTTGGGAGAGGCCACACTGAGTTCAGGGAAGAGGCTGAAACAAGCAACTGGAGCACGGGGACTTCTGACATGGCTTTAACTGTTTGGAAACTACACAGTGCAGCCTTCCCCGGGTCCCTAGTGCAGACTGTGTCAGCTGCCTTTGCTGTGGAGGAGCAGTGTCTGCATGTCCCATTCTGTTGGCTGTGCTCTAAGGCACAGTCTCTGAGACTCAAACACTGCTGCAATTTTTTGGTTAGAGCAGCTGTTTCCAAAATGAGTGTCTGAGCAGTCATCTACTAGAGATGTCCACACAGCTTGCTTGCCAATAAAATTACTTCAACTTATAAACAACATGAACTGAGCTGACAGAATGGGTTTTTTGCGAGCAGCCTGCCCACACCAGAGGTTTTGCTGTCTGGGGAGGGATATGCTTACACAGCTGCTTTGAGGAAACTCCTAATAGACACCAGGTCTTTGTATTAAATAAACCACAGCACAGTTGCCTACATAGGACATGCTTTGCATGCATCCTGAGATGCCAGCCAAAGTCTCGAAGCTGTCAGTCACCTGAGGAACAAACAGCTGGGAAATGCACCCAGACAAAAAGAAGCATTGACCCCTTTGTTAACAAACACACTACATTTATGGAAGTCCACTTTTGCAGAAGTCTCTTGAAAATTAGATTAATACAGAACTACTAGCAAGAGCAATATACACAAAAAAGTTTATCAAACAATACCCCATTGCCATAAGAACAAATAAAAATTATTTGCACGACAAATTGTATGTTTTAGAGTGTAAGTATGTGTGTGCTGCACATATATACCTTTCTATAGTGAAACTCCATGAAACATGTTTACTGTTCCATTGTGTTCCTTGTTCTCCATTATTTAGTTTGAAGGAACACAAGTCTTCTGTACTTATATGGCTCCTCAGCTGACACACATGGAGCACCCAGCTGTAGTTACTGCCCACTCAAGAGTCTTCTTGCACAGAACTAACCTAAAGCAGGGGCAGAGCCTGAGCTGTGCTGTGTCCTTGTGTCTAGGTTACCCAAAAGCACAAGGCTTGCCCAGGGATCCTGGGTGTTTTCTAACAGATATCACACGTGCAGCTTCACCTATGTGGGCTTTCTCAGAAAAATTAAATCTATGTAGGGCTTTGACGCAGAGCAGCAATGGATCTGGATTAAAATTACAACATGTGGTATTGTTTCTTTTAACTCATTAGATGGTCATCGTCTAAGAGTACATTTAAAAGTGCACTTATTTCTTCTAGTTATTTGCTTGGGTTTCCACTGAAGTGTAGGTTGAACTTGCTGCTAGAAAATCCACAAGTAGAGTATACTCAAAGTACTGGACTTCAGTAAATCCTTCAGTTGAACAAAAAACCTCTGTACTACTCAAAAACATTTGAATAGCACATTAAATCGAGAAAAATAATGTTACTGTCTTATTTTTTTACAACATAGGACCTTGTAATAAGAATAAAAAAGTAATGATAAGGAGCTTTCTATGTCACATTAGTGGTTTGGTTCCTATATCACTTAATACAATCCCATTGTGGTGGAAGTGTCCTTGTCTTCTATGGACTTGAACATATTGAATAATTTGTTCTAAAAGCTGGTGGTCATATCCTATTTTTGTGTCTAAAGAAGGAAGTTAGTATCTCTAAATAATAACAACAATATGAGAATTTATTCTTACAGTTCTAATCACTTTCAGATTAGTGGAG